ATCTGTCATTTCCGAATTATGAGGCTCTATTTTTATTAGTTCTGTAAGATATGCGATGATCTGTCCTATCAAAATTAATTCCATTTCTGCTACCCTTCCTCTCAAGGTCATTTGATTCTTAACTTTGTTCTGACTTTGTATCATCCAAAAAGTTTATTAATAGCAATTTCTTTTATTGTACTATGTGAATGGCTTGATATTGCCTGGGTGTATTAGATTTGAAGTCTCTTTTTTTCCCTGCCCTTCTGGTATCAGCAAATTCCTTGAAAAGAAACTGTAGAAATTCAAATACCTGATGGCAAGTACGTGTTCATACATTTGGTATTTTATAAGAGCAGATTTGTAACCGCTACATAATTATTGGATTTTATTTTTTTTGTGTATCAATTTAAGATGGCCCTTGCTTGTGCTTAATATAGGTCACCCTGCCCTCATTTAAGCTTCTGTTCTGGGATTTCGACAACAATATGCCACCCTAACCATCAAAATGAGAACTGGAGTAGCATCATATACACTGTTCAGTTAAGCTGTCGTTGCTTCAACAACTTCATCAGTGGGATACAGAAGTTAATCCTTGCACACTCCCCTGGGTAAGGCATGTTGCAGGGTTATACTTGATGAAGGCATGGCAGGAGAGAGTTGTATGATGGATCAGGTGCTGTTTTGCTTTGTCCCAGAGTGAGCCTGTATGCCAGAATATGAAAGTTGTTTGGTCATCTCTTTAGAAAGTGGTTGCTGTGCAAGCCCAAACTAACTGATAAGGGCTGTCAAATGCCACATTAGTGAACACTGCAGAACACTTAATACCTTATTTTAAGTTGTTTCTCACTTGCTCTTTTCATGTTTGTTCTCCCAGCACTCATCTCTTCTGCCTTTCTGTGCTTGTACAGATGAATGTACTAGACTTCCTGGCTTGTGTATATCAAATACTGAATAATTTAATAAAAAACATAATCTAATATTCACAGAAACCTGACACCAGCTACTGCTTACTAAGATGCTTCCTTCTACTAAGGACAGAGCAAAAGTTTTCATGATGCTTTTTATTTACGTTTCTTATTCAGAAAGTCTGCTTCATAGTGCAGACCTTGCATAGCAGTAGTGGCAGAACCACTTGGGGCATACTTCTCCAGAATGCCTTCTGCATCCTCACAGGCCACCTCAGCAGAACATATGACTGATGTGCATGCCAGAGACCTACGTTAAACTTCGAGAAGGTGGTGTAAATCCTTCATTATTTACTTTAGGAATAGTTGAGTGCAAATAACAGTCAAGATAGTGGATGGTTCTTGTTGCTTAAGAGAGACAAGTTTATGCAAGCTGGAAGAGTTGGTTGGTGCTGTTAAATTAGTACTGACATCTGGAACCCCGCTGCCTTTTGTGAAGTGCTATTTGTTGGACGGTATGAAGTATTGTGACAGAAACTGCCTGTCCTCATGGTTAACAGGAGGCTGTAGCATATCTGGTGTTCACTGTTAGGGATGATGTTGTCTGATTGGCTGAACACAGTTGGGAGAGGGTTAAGGAAAATGGATAATATAAATGGTTTGCAGTCAAAAGTATTGTTTTTATTAGACCAGTTGACATACAGGGAAAACTGTAAAGGATTTGCATGCAGAAATCCTTCTTCAAGCTTAAAACACAAATTGCAATATTCAGTTTAAATTCAGGTTGAGAACAGCTAATTGAAGGTTGATTTTTCTATTTGTCCATTTAGCCTGTCATGGGAAGGAGAGTTGGTACATATGTATTTAGGGGGAGTAGGGATACAGAACAGAGAATGACAAAATTGTCTGTGGAACACTAATGTATGTTGGAGGTACACAGGCATTATGGAGGTGACAGACGCAATACTTCATAATCATCCTTTCCAACTATCTTCTGACTGGTTTTAGTATATTATAGTGTAGAATTTCCTTGAGAGGAAGCAGAAGTTACTCGTATGAATCTACCAACGTGGAAAACATGCATGTATGCTCAGGACAGATATATGATGTTTCTTCTTCTCAATTAACTTTCTACTGTAAGACCATCAGTAACTTCTTCCCAAAAGCTTCTTGGGGATCCCTTGCTAGCTGGAGCTGGTTGGTAGCTTCTGTGCTTTGTTTTTAGCTGTCATCTCCCATCTGCTTGTAACTAATTCCCGTGAAGAAGTGAATGTAGAGGTCTTTATGAGAAACCTAACGGTCATGATGTACCATTCGTAACACTGAGTGGTTTTGTCAAGTGACTAGGTAGGGACAGTATTTCTTAAAGATATACAGGTTTAAAAGTAATAAAACCTACAAGTAGACCAAGGATACATGAAGAAAAAATAATTTTTGGGATGTATGTGTGTAGGAAAAAGCTTAAAAGAAAATATTGAAACAAGACTAGTATTCCTTTTGCACAGTGACTTGCAGTGAATGAACTGTAACCATTTTTTTTTGCTAAGCAGTTCCTCTGTGGTGCTGGTCCTGCACATAGTAGAAAAAGCTTTATTGTTTTGTGTTCTGAACAACAAGAAACCGCATCTAGAAGAGACGCGACTGCCTGATTTCACACCCATACAAAACAAATGTTGGTGTCATAGGAACTTGCCAGCTGTTTGTCGGTACTAACTCCTTTGATCAGCACATGGTATACTGTCCTCAGTCATTTGTGGCAAAAGCAGCACATTGCTTGTGTTGGAATATATGATTTTTGAAGAAAAGTACATAAAATAATTTCCTGCAAGCTTATGCTGAAATGAATGGGACTTGGAACCTGACTATATGAAAGGGCTGTACTGTGCTTATCTTCTTTCTTGCAAGCACACCCAGTAATTTACTGTGATGGATAAGGAATTAAAAGTCATCATTTCTGCTTTCTTCACTGTTAGTTGACTTCTGTCCCTAAAAGCGCAACCATGTAGTTAACTGAAGTATTATTCAGGGGAATTGGTTACAGGATCTTTCATGGAGACTTGTGCAAAAATCTTCAAAACCAGACCTGTAGCCAACAGAGAAGGGGTTTCTTTGTTTTTCTTTTGAAATTTATATGCACAATTCCCCATACACCCTCCCTGCCACCAACCACCTACTTTTTGCTGCAAGACAGCTTTAGGGGGGGGAAAAGAAGTCCAAAGATATCAGTGACTGTACTACCAGCTCTGGTAAATGTTGGGGTAGGGAATGGGTGGTGGCAGCACTAAGGAAAGAGGGGGCTGGATTTTGGTTTTTTTCTTCTCTTTAAGCCGGTCAACTTAAGCATTTTCCTACAGCTTGATGACCAGGACCTCTGTCTTGGATTGAACCAGATTACTCCATTACACCTCATTGGTGGTCACATGCACACCTGGATGTGTTGCACACGTAAAGAATGAAAGGGAATCTGCTCGATGCTGAAGAGCAGAATGCCTCTGGTGAGTTCTTCATTGGATGATTAATACTGGATCATGGGACATTTTAAGAGTCTTTGACACCTTATAAGCACAGGTGGATCCATTATGGCCATCATGGTGAATATCTTCAGGCCATTTGAGTGAACTGTCCTGGTGTCTCCCCAGGGGGAGTTATCACAGGTTAGTCATTTGTGTGAGGACACAAATAGCCTTGAGGCTGTAGGTGTACACACCCTCTCAGTCATCAGCCTTCCAGTCTTTTCACACTGGTTGATACATTCTTCTCCCAGGAGAGTACCACTTAAGTCCTCCCCACAGTCTAAATTAGTAGGCTTATTTGGAGAAAAGAGAAAAGGTAGATATCAGAGTCTTTGTGTAACCCAGGACAAGCTGTCTCACTGAGATGTGAACATCTTTGGCTTTATTGGGAAATTAGTTTCCAACCAGTAAAATCTGCCATTGCTCGGTTAGCATATGGCAGTTTAGGTCTCCCTCTGCATCTGTGACAATTGTTTCGATGTATAATAGCATGCATTGAGTAATCTGTACTCCTGCTGTGGTAGTAGCTACCTGCCCTGATTAGAAACAAACAGATGGACTGACAAGTCAGTCATTAATCTCTACCATAAACATGCTTTTATCATATTAAGGTAATGTTACTTGAATAGAGATTGTTTGTTAGCCTGGCTGTAACGCTTAGGTAAAATTCATTCGTGTCATTTATGTTCTCTGCTGTACAGCACAATGTTGTCCAAGAGCTTCAGACAATTAATTTTGCTCATGATGACTGAAAATGTAGATGACTTGTTCCTTGCTATTTTCTGGTTTTGGTCACCAGTAAGGGACCTAAATTGAAAGGAATTCAGAAGTGTTTCCAAGATTGGCCTGGTTTTGATCTTTCCTGAAGTGAATGAGGATTTGTGGTGCTTGCAGCTTGTCTTTAGCCAGGAGAGCATCATGTACGTCTCATTCTTCCAGCAGAGGCATTTGTACGGCACAGCTCTGCTCTGAGGAGGAGATACATGTTATTTATCAAAGAATAACCCCTTGCATTAGACCTCTGCTTTGGTTCAGAACTTTTGTGATAGCTTTGAGAGGAAAGAGATGCGTCCCTTAACTCCTCTGCAGTCTTGACAGACAGCTCTCATTTAGTCCCATGGTACCCTCATGGTACCCCCAGCTCAAGACATGAGTTGCTTGAAGAGAGCCATTGCTTTCAGTTTTCCTTTTTCTGTCTCCATGGAGATAGAGCTCTCCGAGCTTCTTGGCTTTACTGACTCACTTCAACTTCCTGTACCCCAGACCAGAAAGATTTCTCTAAATATAAAGGTTTGATTCACAAATCTTGTGGTTAGACTTACAGTTCCAAGCAAAACAAATACAAAGCCTACAATACAAGCCTGTGCTTGATAATGGGATAAGCAAATGAAATGTATATGATTGTAACTAGGTTACTGCTGAGAAACCACTATTCAGCTTGTGAAGGTAGCTGTGTTTTAAGCAGTCCTCAGTACGTGTTCTTCATTACAGCCGTTTCATTGCTATGTGCTGTTGAGGTGACTGATGTTTTCAACATGATACTAATTTTTGGCTTTGTATATACTATGTACATTCATATATTTCTTGTTTTTTATTTCAGAGATGGTGATGTTGCTGGAATGGTGGTCAGGCACCGATTGCACCCTATACACTGATCCAGAGAGTTACCACAAGTATGGGAAAGAGAATGCCATCGTAATCCTTAATCACAACTTCGAAATTGACTTTCTCTGTGGATGGAACTTTTGTGAGAGATTTGGGGTCTTGGGGGTGAGTTTATTTAGCATTTAAAATAAATTACTTCTTCTTGGATGTGTAAAAAACACCCAAAACAAGTTATGTGTGTTTTTGAATGCTAACAGATCTACACTCAATTTCACCCACCACTGTCCAGAATTAGAGGTGAATCTAAAGCAGTACAGTTCAAGTATGTGGAGTACTGAGACAGGATTGCTTGGGCACAGAAATTTTAAAAGCGTTGCAGTTAAAGCTGATGGAGATATTTTTTTTAACCTGTGGAGGTCCTTACAGTTACTTCTCTCTGTGTGTTTGCTAGGTTCATTGTGCTGCAGAAAGATGAGCTGTTCCATGGTTCTTTCCCAGTAAATTATAGAATTTGTTTGCTTTTTCCAGTGTAGTCTTACAAATCCACAGGTAGAGTTTGAGTGATGTAGCCTGCCTCTCTCAGAATGAAAGAGCAGCCATCTCAAGTGAAAGCAGTAACCAGCTTATAGCTAGTAAGAGATGGAGGAGGAATGAGTTACCCATGGTTGAATACACTGTCACATTAGGCTAAGAGTTAAGTGTGCATTTGTTTTTAGGGTTGCCTTTTTGTTTCCCCTGCCAGATCATGGGGATGATACAAGGCCCCTGTCTAAATTAGCCTAACTTAATTTTTAGGTGGTGACTGTATTCTCTGTCTACAAAGGATTTATCTAATAAAAAGAAAGACTAAAGTCTCCTAAAAAGAGAGACTAATACCTCATTTTGGCAGTCTTCTGTGGCATCCTTCTAGCTTTGATGCTGGCCACTGTCAAAAGTCCTGACCTTGGATTGTGCAAACCTATGATTTTTTTATGGCCTTTCCTTTGAACTCTTTGCACTTTCTGGAAATCTGTGCATCACTTCAGTCACTTTCAAATTGCAATAATGACAGTTCTGTTTAAAAAAAACCCCAACAATCTAAAAGGGGACCTTAAAAGTAGAGGAAAATGAACCTAAGCATTACAGGCCCTGCATGTCACCAAAATGGCTGTTAGGTCCTAATTACTGAAGAACAATTCTGCTGTAATGTGTGGGACTTGAGCAGAGAGCTGGAGGATGGCATGGTACAGCAGGAGATATAGGGAAACTTGTTCCTGGCAAACAGATGTACATGCAAAAATCCAGCCCCTATCTACGTGTTCATTATACAGTGGTGTTTTAGTACAGTCTGTCTAATTTTGTAAGCCTAATTGCCTCAGTTCTCTAAATAAAGCTGTGTTTTAAAGGGTCAGGTGTATCTTCAGAAAGTACCAATATAGAAAATGAAAGAATTGTTTCTGTACAAAGTAGTAGGGACCTACAAGATCAAAAATACCTTGTTTTTTCATTTGTGCTCTGTAGTTGGATTGAATCTTACTAGCTGTAATTTTTTTTCATAGTTTTCCAAGTTAATCAGGATTCTGTTTTAGTCTGTGTTGTTCCCTATGCATAAGAATACCACAACATAGAAGCATAACTGCTGAAGAATTATTGCATTGCACTAACTGAAAATATTTTTTCCTTTTTTTGGATGCTTACAGTTATTACTCGATTTGTATTTATGCTAATCTTAGGATTCTCTAAGGAACCGATATATGTTGAGTTTTTTTCTTTTTTTTTTGGTTTAAAAATCTGTTTCAGTGTTGAGTTCGGTTCTCAGAAACCGTTCCAGGAAGAAGTAGTTCCCATGTGCTCTCATTTGCATACATGTCTTTACTCAACAAAGCAGTTCATTTCCCTGTTGGGGCAACCAGCTGAGGTTCATCTTAAACCAGGTTAAGAAAAAAATAAAAGGAAAATGCTACACAATCAGTTTTCCTCATTGTATTGTCTATAGTTTTATACTGGTACTTGGCTTGGGGCAGGGCAGGGGTAGACGAATATGCAGGGATGGGGAATATAGGTTGGTTTGACTTTGTGCTGCCTTACATCAATTTCCAGAGCATGATGTGGCACCACGATTAGAAACCATGATGTTGAGGGCTGATGTTTAGAAAAAGGAGTTAGAGGAAAAAGGCAGGTGTCCAGGCAAGATGTCTAAGGTGTTCCAACCTCCAGTGTTTTGTGGCTCAGCAACTTTGTGAGCCGATAGTTGTTTATATTTAATGATGTTTAATCATAGACTCCATTAAGTTTCTGTGCAAAGTTTAGGTATCTGCCAACACCTTACTCAGCTGATCTCATGTCCACTACTGCTGAAAAGGAAATCTTGCACATGTTGTCCCCTCCATCTGTTCTGGTGCTTCTCTGTTCTATTTTGGCATGTTTCAGATACCCTTTCTCTCTCTTTTCTGCCTTAACTAATCCAATGAAGAAAGGAGAGATGCCTGGGGAGGGGGCAGAGGGAGACAACTAAGACGACTTCACCTTTGAGCTGAAGGAGTTGGAACTAGTTGTGCTTGGCTGCAGCAGGCAGACAGACAGAATGGCTTTGTTGTGACATTCGGCTGTACCCTGTAGCCCTGGCAGATAATGGCAATGCTCTTAACAGTGTCACATGCATGTGTTCAAACTTTCAGCATTTTACAGCTTGAACTTTTATTAAATGAAGCCATTAAATGTTGTAACTTTTTGCTTAGTTCTTGTGGTTTAACCATCCAGGCAGCTGAACACCACAGATTCACTTGCTCACTCCCTGCTCCCTGTGGGATGGGGGACAGAATTGGGAGATAAAATTTGTGGGTTGAGATAGAGTTTAATTGGACAGGAAAAGAAGGGACAAAAATAATGACGATGGTAAAAGAGTCAGAATATACAAAACAAATGATGCACCACACTCCAATTGCCAAGCAGCAGCCCCCAGCCAACTTTCCCCCTAGTTTATATTTCACATTATATAGTGTGAAATATCCCTTTGGCTAGTATGGATCAGTTGTCCTACCTGTGTCTCTTTCCAGCTTCTTTTGTCCTCCAACCCACTCCCTGACAGAATGGTGTGAGAAGCTGAAGAGTCCTTGATGTAGTGTAAACACCGCTTAGCAACAACTAAAACATCCGCATGTTATCAACATTATTCTCATTCTAAATCCAAAACACAGCTACTGGGAAGAAAATTCACTCTATTCCAGCTGCAACCAGGACATTGTTTTTGTTTATCTGAAAGCAGTATTGAGCATCCTTAAATGTCTCTTGCCCCTTCTGTCCCCAAAAGAAAAAAAGAAGTCCCTTTTCCTTCTAGGTTTTAACTAGGATATGAAAACTGCCCCTCCTGGTCTTAGTTACAACATTCAGTCTGTTTGTTTTTCTGCTCCATCTGTTGGATCTCTTCTCTGGTACTGACTTTCTCCTTATAGCCAAATTACCTTAATCTTAACAGGTTTATAAAGCTCTCTCAATGTGGCTTTGTTTTTATCAGTGTTGGTTTAGGGAACTTTTTTTGCTGTTTTTGGGGAGTAGAGTAGGAGTGGCACAGTCTGTTGTTTTTAGGTTTGTGAACCTGAGTGTTCTTCTAAGGACTCAGATCTCTACTTTTATGACATGAGGTTCTCTGCTTTCATGAAGGTTTTTTTTTTTATTGGCTCTGGAAGAAAATTTAGCAAAAAGAACCAAATAAGGTGCTAAGAATTTGAGGAGTGTGCATGGAGATGAGGAAGGGGAAAGAATGACAATTCTAATATTTGTTTTACTTTAATTTTTTTTTTCTTTAATTCTTTTGGAGCACCCATTGAAAATTCTAGGAGGCACCGGGTTGACAGTACTGAGTGAGAACCAGAGACTTGTTCATTTGTAGTGGAGAAGGAGAAACCCGCATGAAGAAGCAGTTTTATGCTTGCTTTTACTCTTACAAGTTATTGAGATTATCTTGCTAGTTTATGGATGTATAACTGTGCAATATCAAACCTTACATGATTTTTTTCGTTGTTGTTGGAAAATAGAAGAAGGAAGCAGACTTCACGAAAACTAGGAGCAACAGGGGTTTCAGGAAAACCTGCATTGGGCCCAAACAATCAATCACATGTCTGTATTCCACTTGTGGGGTTTTTTGTGAAGGTTTCTTTGGATTTTATTTTCATTCCTTGCCACTCATCAACCACATTTCCACCTCTATGTGCTGCCAGACCTCAGTTTTGTGTGCAGGAGGAGGGGTATATAAGAGTCCTTGATGCTAAGTCAGCATCATGCTGCCACAGACAGCATAGATGTCCATGGGGATGGCTGAATCCTGCCTCTGTGTGACGCACAGGTGGCTGCAACAAGCTGTGAGGGAAGGAGGGGCTGGGCTGCCAAGTTGATTTTCTGTAGAGTTGGAAACAGCATAGCCGCAACAGGACACAACTTTGTCCACACCGGTGTTTCCTAATAAGAGACAGGGCTGTTCCTGTGATCCTGAGCCAGGGTGACTGTGATGGTTGTGTTGTGGATGCTCTGCTTTTCTACCCCATGCTGGTGCGATGGCTGGGGGGATGCTAACTCTGGTGTCCGTGTTTTGCTCTGTTGTGTAATAGAAGCATGGACTTGGTGACAGGTCCCTGCACTCTGCTGTGCCCTTCCCATTTCCTACCTGTGACATTCCAGTCCTTGGATTTATCTTCTTAGTGGTGGACAACCTAGCTACTGTATCACTATTTAAATATATTAGTAGCATTTAGTTTCTTCAAAGGATGTTCCTAACCATTCCACTGAAAACAGACCTACTGTGCATCAGAAATGAAACTCAGGATAGAGGCATATTGTAGGAGGGAGGTGTTATTCAGGATTTTTACCAAAAGCACTTCAATATGCTCCCTGCCTGGATTGACTGCTTCACTGCTTGATCTGATTAAGCAGTGATAAAATAGCTTTTCTAGTAATTTAATAACCCTTTTTCTGAGATGAAGACCTTAATATTGGCAAAAACCGCCCATGCTTTAAGGCTAAACGTGCTGGTTTTTCTGTTTATCTTCTGGTGTCTTTGGTGTTTCAAGTTAGTAATGCTGATGTTTCTGTCTCAGTGAAACATAAACATTATTCTGAGGGGCTCATGTTGCATCAAAATATTTGCATTTCCAAAAGAGGCCATATTTCTCATAAAAAATCACTAAGCACAT